CCAGAGGTATGACTGAGCACATGCTAAGAGAGGAATGCAAAATGAGACAAGGGTAAGGCAGGGTCTGCAGAATTAACCAGAGCCAGAAAAATTGCAGCAGTTGGAAAGCCTCTTAACAATATCTCTGGCAACTAAGGCAGAAGCTATCTCCAAAGCTGCCCTGGTCCAATGCAGATAAGGAATTGGTAGAAAATAAGTACAATGTAAGCAGGGAGGAAGGTACTGGCATCAAAATTTGAATAATACTGTAACAGGAAGTGGTCACACACATGAGCTCCACCTGTTGGCTAAGCACTGTCTTCTTTGTCAACTGACAGGAAATAACTGTTGAAAAGAAAAAAAGAGCACATTTCCTGATCATGTCAGTAAGCCATCCTGACAGTTTTAAATGAGCCTATTTTATCTCCGAACTTTTTATACTAAAAACTGTTTACTGTATCAACAACACCATTATAGTACAGGAATGATAGGAAAGCAGAGTGGTGAAAATAGGCATGATATATATTCCAACTTAGGCCTCCGTGGTCCCGTAGCAGCAATCCATTAGCCATAGGAATGGTGAAGCATTTATCAATTTCGCATGCTGTTATGGGTAAAAATAATAAAAATCATACAAAAACATTTTTTACTATGATACACAATCATGCATGGTGCAAACTAGGCATGCAAGCATGAAGCAAAGCAATCATCAATAAGTGAGAATTATGAAAATAAAAAAAATCCTAAAAGCTGCAGAAAAATAATTAAATATTTATATCAAGAAATCTCTTTTTCAAGAATTGTGAAATATTAAATAAAATATTGTTTTTATTGCTCACTTTTATATTTCAGAGTGGTTTGATATTTTAGCTGCAATAATAATAATAATAATAATAATAATAATAATAATAATAATAATTTGTGAATTTTGTCATTCTTAATCTCCTGTTTTTAAAAGAAATTCACAAATGGTAACACAACAAGCCATAAATACAACAACAACAATGAAGAAGAAACACTTTAAATTTTAGTACAGTACTCACCTATATAATAGGTAAGTAGTACTGTACTAAAGTTTACATTCAAGAGTGACAGTACCATCATCAGGATCATATACTCTACAAAACAGATGCTTTTAAACGAGACTCCAAAGCATGAATGGATTCCTGATTCTTAACACACATGCTTCACTAAACTTCTTTAATACAGTATACTCCAGTACTTAACCTCTCACATGTGAATAATCAAAAGGAGAGATACTCTGACACAATACAATATTACATTTGGTAACCCATGGTACTTGTACTGTATGGTAGTACAGGCATACCTCGTTAATGCAGCACTTCGCTTTAGAGCGCTTCACTAATACGGTGCTTTTCAATTCGAGTTTATTATTTTGGGTGGTGATGCTCACAACAGCTGACCAGCGCCATTTTTTTTTTTTTAATTTTTACTTTAGCATCCTTTTTTTTTTTAGGACTAGCACTATTGTGCACTTAATAAATGAAAGTGTAAACATGCACTTTTATCTACACTGGCAAGTGAATAATAGGCTGCAATTTATGGCAGTGGTCGGGAACGTAACTCACCATATTAGCCAGGTATGCCTGTATATTTTATTTTTAAAATATTGGCTGACACCAAGGTAGGGTGAGAAAAAAATGGAGAAAGGGGGAACACATTCAGCATCATCCATTTAACTTGTTTTCCCAGAACTGCGTTGACATGCGAGTTTGCGTGATTGATGACTGACTGACTGACTGACTGTGACTGACTGACTGTGACTGATGGACTGTGACTGACTGACTGTGACTGACTGAGACTGTGACTGACTGACTGTGACTGAATGTGACTGACTGACTGTGACTGACTGACTGACTGTGACTGACTGACTGACTGACTGACTGACTGACTGACTGGACGGACGGACTACTACCACCTCTTCCTGCCTATATATAGCCGTCCTGCTCCACCTCTGTTAGTGTGACTTTGTCAATGGTCCAAGTCGGACCGAAACGTCGTCGTAAGCTTCTCTCTTTTATGTGCGGGTTATTTGTGTATTGTTCCAGTCACGGTATTGTGCCTTTTTGTTATTTATTTATTTATTTACTGACCTGACTGACTTACTGACCTGACTGATTTACTGACTGACTGACCTGACTGACTTACTGACCTGACTGACTGACTGACTATGACTGACTGACTATGACTGACTGACTATGACTGACTGACTGTGACTGACTGACTGACTACCTGACCTGACTGGCTTACTTACCTGACTTACTGACCTGACTGACTTACTGACCTGACTGACTTACTGACCTGACTGACTTACTAACCTGACTGACTTACTGACCTGACTGACTTACTGACTGACTTGACTGACTTACTGATTTGACTGATTTATGCACACTCCAGTACAACCATCAACTTCAGTACCAGACCCTCTACCATCCATTTCAGCCCAGTAGGGCCACAGCATAACTCTCCACAATCATCCACAAACACCACCACCCACAATTTAAGGTAAGAAATACTATTATTTATGTTGCATTTGTAATCTTAAGCAGTAAAAACAACATAATACATCACGACAATAAACTACAATTACATATTCACTTTTATTTCTACAAGATCTGGTCTAAAAAAAGTTATTTCGCTTTTTGGGGGCTCCCAGGAACGTAACCCTATTTTTCCCATAAGTTCTTCAGCTTGTATTTAATGGTTTTAACTACCACGGCATTTTCAGGAACATAACTAGCGTGTTAAATGATGGTTTACTGTATGTATGTATGTATGTATGTATGTATGTATATGTGTGTGTGTATATATACATGTATGTATGTGTGGTGTGTGAGTGTGGTGAAAGTGTTGAATGATGATGAAAGTATTTTCTTTTTGGGGATTTTCTTTCTTTTTTGGGTCACCCTGCCTCGGTGGGAGACGGCCGACTTGTTGAAAAAAAAAAATATATATATATATATATATATATATTTTATTTTTTATTATCACACTGGCCGATTCCCACCAAGGCAGGGTGGCCCGAAAAAGAAAAACTTTCACCATCATTCACTCCATCACTGTCTTGCCAGAAGGGTGCTTTACACTACAGTTTTTAAACTGCAACATTAACACCCCTCCTATATATATATATATATATATATATATATATAATATATATATATATATATATATATATATATAATATATTATATATATTATATTATGTATGTTATGTATGTATATGTATGTATGTATATGCATGTATATGTATGTATGTATGTATGTATGTATGTATGTATGTATGTATGTATGTATGTATGTATGTATGTATGTACGTACGTATGTATACAGTGGTACCTCGAGTTTCTAACTTATTTCATTCCAGAATGCTGTTCGAGTGCCAATACCGAACGAATTTCTTCCCATAAGGAATAATGTAAATTAGATTAGTCCGTTTCAGACCCCTAAAAATACACTTACAAACGCACTTACATAAATGGTAGAGTTGGGAGCAGTTCGAAACTCGGGGTACCACTGTATACCATATACAGTATATATGTTATATATCACAACTATCATATATATAGATACATGGAAGATGTCCTCCTCTAGGTGAAGGTGCAGGGACAGGACCCATAGCCTTGGATAAGTAAGTGAAATGGCTTCAAGGAAAAATACCAGTTCTTCTTGAAGCTGATTGAACTTTTCTCCATTTTTACTCACTAATTTATCACTGGAGAGATCAGGACCCCATTCCTAGCCCTGCCTACTATGCCTCTTTGAGCATCATCCCTGACTTCTGGTCTCTTGGGGCTTATCATATCCACCATTGAAGCTGTTGTTCAGTCTGCCTCCACCTAATGCCTCATTCAAGTCATTCCACTTTTTAACCTCCCTGATAAAGTCATCAGGTTCAGTTCCCTCAACCTCTCTTCACAGTTCGTTCCTCTTGGTTCTGGTAAAAGTCAGGTTGCAAGCCTTTGTGTAGCAGAATAGCCACTGGTTGTGTGGAAAAACAGGATTCAAAGCTTTTGAAGCTGTATCATGTGTTAGCAGCAAGCTAAGCACATTCTGGAAAGTCATCATACCCACAGTATTATAGAAAATTCTTTTCCATTGTTGAAAATAGACATGCTTGTGTACTATCAAGAGTATTTTAGAATAGCTTTACAGTACAGTATGCGCTTTATTTTTTTTTAGTAAATTTTTTCAGAGGATGGTTACTCTATTACTAATACTAATATAGTATCAGTAGATGAGAGTGAAGGTTTACAGTCTCAAAATTTTTATTCGTTTATTTGATGCTTTATGTGATCCAAGAATTTGAGTTAAGCAAGTATTTTAAAGGTTATTCTTTAATTTCATTATTTTTTTTTTAAGAATATGGCACAGAAGATGGATAGGCTGCAATTAAGGAGGATGACAGAATAAGATGCCTAGAAGCAGCAGTGATTACACAGACACAAAACATAACTGAGCAGAATTAAGGGGCACTCAGCATCACACCATTACTCGCACGACTCACTCTCGCACGACTCACTCTCGCACGACTCGCCCTCGCACGACTCGCCCTCGCACGACTCGCCCTCGCACGACTTGCCCTCGCACGACTTGCCCTCGCACAACTCGCCCTCGCACGACTCTCTCGCATGACTCACTCTCACATGACTCATTCTAGCACAACTCATTCTAGCACAACTCATTCTAGCACAACTCATTCTAGCACAACTCATTCTAGCACAACTCATTCTCGTGCAACTCATTCTCACTCAAATCATTCTTGCACAACTCATTCGCATGCAACTCCTTCTCATGCAACTCGTTCTTGCACAACTCATTTTTGCACAACTCATTCTCTGAAAACATGGACAGACCTCTGACCTAATGATAACGAGCATCCCTTCCTAACTATCACTCCCACATCTTGCAACAACTCTGCTTACCTATGATAGGGCATATAAGTTTGTGTATGTGTTGCTCTGTATCTGTTGCCATTATATTTTACAATATCATCTTACCATGATTTGATATAGTATGCAAGCTTGTGTTGCGTGTTGCTCTATACAACTAGTTACTATTTACTGATGTCCCAACAACTGCCAGTAAAGTTTTGTGAAGCTTCCTCTAGTTTCATAACATGAAGGTGCTCTCTGAAACCTTTCAATAGTTTCAACTTCCCTAAGCAGTCTCTCTCCAGATGCAGTATTGCAATTTGTATGGCTTGACCATATTCAGTGGTTTTTACAAGAGGCTCTCCAGCTGCAGTACTGAAATATTAATGGCTTGTTTTTATTCAATAGTTTTTTTATAAAAAATTACATTAAATTGACTGTATGGAGAGTGCAATGGACAACCAAGAGAACTAATTTTGTGTTCTGCTTATTATTTTGTTATGGATTCGAATACGTGCCTTGGATCATTATTGTGCTGAAATTTCCACTATGTATTTGTGTCCTCTTCCAAATAGGGTAGCAACCATTCACGGGCCTTATACTTCTTAATGATGGATGCTATCACCTGTACAGACATGTTCACCTTCTCATGAATATTTGTGTAACATTACCAGATTTATGAAGATTAAGAGCCATGTTACCAAGATCCTTTGACTCACGAAATCATAACATGATTGCAAACAAACCATGGAATGGGTGGGAATTACACCCATGCAAGTGAATCCTAAAACTCCACACCCAGTGGCTTACGCACTGACCTGGAGTTTCATGACCTATTTGCCATGGGTTCACTCCCCACCTGTTCCATAGTTAAGATCCCTTGGGTTGACTGCAGTTGATTTCAGGGATCACTGGTTCTGTAGGGGTAGTCCCACACTAGGCCTCCTTGCAGCTGGCCTGATCAATAATTCTGTTGGTGCTAGCAACACTCAGTCCAACATAGGCAGTACAGCCTAGTTAACCAAGAATTACCCTTGAATAATTACACTGCCTTTCCTACTATGACATCTCTGTTTACTAGAGGCTTGTGTGAGCAGCCCACCTTTATATAGGTAATCCTCGACTTATGATGGGGTTACATTCCGATGAACTCACCAGACGTTGAAAATATCATAAGTTGAATATGAATATATGATAAATCAATAACCATGTAAATAACTAGTCACTGAATATATAAATAAATAATTACTGTAATTAACTAAATACAAGCATTGCAAAGTAAATAAATGAATATGAGTTTATCCTATCAAAAAATGTTCAGTATTATACATAAAGAAAAAAGTTTTAACAGTACACTGACTTGATTACCCAAGGATGGTACAGGTACAGTACATTTAGTGTTATGTTGTACAGTTAGACGTAATGGGCTAGGGAAAATTTGGTCAAGTACAAAAAAAGACACCACATGATATGTCGCTATCACATCATCATAAAGTCAAAATATTGTAAGTCAAACCCACTTTTATACTCAATTCCAACCAGGGTGCATCCTCCAGGATTTTAAAATGATCCTGTTTATTTGTGTAACTACCTGACGGGTACTTGCATACCAGAAATGCCTTTAAGGTTTTTATATTTGACATATTTACAAGGTATGGATAAATGTGACTACTGGAAACCTACAAATACTGTACATGTAACAGTTTTCAGTGAATATGGCTAGTGATACAGTATTTATCATTATATACATGCATTTTTTTTTCAACAAGCTGGCTGTCTCCCACTGAGGCAGGGTGTGCCTTTGCATAAGTGCCCAGATATGACAGTTTACATGTCACTCCTAACAGCCAATATCCCAAACCCCCTCCTTTAACCCGTAAAAGGTCCAAGCAGATCTACGTTCACATGTGTAGCGCTACAAAAGTAGATCTACATTTTTTTTACATATTTTCAAACATAACAAAAAAAAAAGTAGATCAAAGTTTTTTTTACACATTTTCAAATGTAAAAAAACAAAAAAGATCTACTTTTTTACATACTTTCAAATGTTAAAAAAAACGCATATATACGTTTGGACCGTTTACGAATTAAAGAGCAGGCATTGTACGTCCCACCTACAGGACTCAAGTCCAGATAACCGGTTTCTCAGAATCCCTTCACAAAATATTACTCTGCTCACACTCCAACAGTTCATCAGGTCCCCAAAACTATTCATCTCAATTCACTCCTATCTAACACATTCACACATGCCTGCTGCATGTCCAGGCCCCTTGCACACAAAACCTCCATACATGATACATACATACAGTATTCACATGCATGCATACATACATAGATATACACTACACACATACATACATACAGTACACACATGCATAAATACATACATACATTCAGTACACACACACACACACACACACACACACACACACACACACACACACACACACACACACACACACACACACATGCATAAATAAAAACAAAACACACACAATACCACAAAAAATCAAAGAACAATTATACTCTCAGTGCATTTGTGACAGAAGTCACACATACTGTTCATACACAACAAGAACTGTATGTAGCTGATTAAGCATGCAAAAAGGAATGACTTAATGTCCCTTAAAGCATGTGTCAACATTTAGCATGAACTCAGTGCATATATAACTTGGCACCCTAGGAGCCAGGTGCACAAGTGCCTCTCACCCAAACCAGCCACTACCCCCACCTTCACCTGCAGCTGTTTCTGAGACTGTTGCTGTTGCTGCAGTAGATGTTGGCGATCCTTTACACAAACATGCTTCTCAGGCTTCTTAGGGTGACTTCTGTGTCATCAAGAGCAGCATTGGGGAGAAGTTAACAATTACTCGTACTCAATGAGTCTTTTGATCCTGTAGCATCAATGCTGCTAACTCACCTTAACCCAACAGAAAGGATCTAGGATAGAAAGGAATTACCCACCTAAAATGCAATTTATTAACCTATGAATTCTAACCATTACTTTAAAAAAGTTCCATGTTTATAGTGATTGAATTTTTAATAATATAGACAGTATAAGGATTAGTAGTGCATTTATATGGAATTAAATAATGACTTTCAAGAAAGGATAATCTAGAAAATACAAACTATAAGAAAAAAAAGGCAAAAAATTACAATAGATAAAAGACATTTTACTTGAAAGTTAGATATGGACAGTGCCACAGAAAATTTTCCCCAGTAAGCAGCCCTAATAATTATATGAATATACAGTGCCTGACTTGCCAAAAGAAATCAACAACAATATATCACCTGCCTTAGTGGAAAACGGCAGACATATTAAAAATAAACATGTCTTAAGATGCAGAATTTTTTTGGGAAAAAAAAATGAAAATTACTGAAACTATGCAATATTAGGTAAACTGAGCAAATGGAATCATACAATGAATGATGTACATAGCTCCTATATATAGTGTAATTTTTTAAAAATGCAATTTAAAAAGTACATACAAAATTGAACAGCATGTGGAAAGGCCTTCACAGTGTATGTTATTCAATTCTGGATGAACTTTCTCATTCGCATTTACAAAAAAATCACTCTATATGGAGGAGTTATGAGGGAGTGACAGTAGTTCATTGCTACTGTAACTTGCTTAACTAACAAGTCTTGGATTAACATATAAAAAAGTACGTAGTTGGAAGCTTAGGATTACACCTATCCTTTCAAACTCAAATGCAATAGTAGAAACTAGCACATTACTGCCAAGTTGTAGTAAAATATCCATATTATTGTTTTAATCAGCTCACTGAGCAAATAGCTTAATATAACAATTTGGAGAGGAAACTTTAGATGATTATTTGGTTTGTCCTGAAAGATTATCAAGTCACAACAAAAGAGAAAATATCAAGAAATTCAGAAAACTGGTCATGTGAGGGAAAAAGGTAGAAGACAGGTCAAATGAAGAAGTGAAAGAAGAAAAAGCAGAAGACAGATCAGGTGAAGTAGTAAGAAGAAAAAATACAGAAGAGGTGAATGGAAAGCCAAGGTCAAATCAAGTCAACTGTGTCCTAAAGATTAGAATATTTGACAGACACGGTAGTGTGATTTATTCTTTGGCTCGACATGAATCATCACAGCTGCTCACTGCCACTAGAGGTGCACTGTTCACATGCAAACCACACAGTATCACACTCGTTAATCTATTCGCCCATGTTATTTGTCTTCCTCTCTTCCTTCTACTCCCAATCTCACCAGTGTACTACTTAACTCTTCCCCTGAAAGTTAGAACCGGGTAGTAAACTGATGGCAGATGGAGACTGAATAACACTGAATGCATAGGCCCCTAACTTGAATTTATTTTAACTACACATCCTCTTGATAATTATGCAGAGCAAATATAATAGGCTATGCAATAATTGTGAGCAAGTGATATAAGATGCAAAGCAACAACTACAGGGGAGTTGAATGATAGCTCTAGGTGTTTTTGTGTTGCAATCAACACATCTTCTGGAACTCTAGCTAGAGTTGTTCCCTTGAATGAATCTACCTAGACTTTCTACTCATTTCTGCAACATTGCAAGTTCCTGAAGATGTGTTGATTGCAACATAAAAGGTCTAGAGCTATCATTCAACCCCCTCCACAAGGTTGTTTTGCATAAAAGGCTATAATAGATTTTTTTAATATTTTCTGACCTTTCTTTATTCATTCTCATGGTAAATAAAGGAACTCTCTTTGGCTTATGACTAAAATTAACAGATGCTCTGAGAATACCAATGGTTAGTACTTTCACTTGCAGACTAAAATCCAACTAAAATATGACAAGTTACAAAGGCCACTATTAAGTTATGACATTTCATGACATTAATTGTTAGAATTACATTAATTTCCAGTTACAACAAAGCATATTAGGAAAAAATTAAGAATAACTCAATATTTTCTTAAAATGGTTGCAAATAAGTACTATAGTACTTATAATGGAAGTACTATAGTAGTTCCACCAATTATGCAAATAACTATAGTACTGAAGTTCTATATTATTTGCAATTTTTATCACATTAACTGAATCATAACAATGGTTTAATACCTAAAAAATATATAAAACTGCATAATTTTATTATTATAATAGAACGAATTTTTTTGCAGTGTGCCTCTCATTGTGGTGCATG